AGACTGACTTCCATAAGAAAATTACGTTGATAAGAATGGATATAAAGCGCGCAGAGATTATCCACTGATTACGTGGAAAAGAGAAATTGTTATTTTATCAATTGTTTATTTTTCCTACTTTTTTTTTCTGTGTACTTTTCAGATGTGGTAACAAAGCTTAAGCTATAATTAGGCTGTGTTTACGTTATGTTTAATATTTTCCTTCTTATACAACAGTAACTCTTTTGTATTAATATATATTTCTTAATATACTGACGATAATGATAATAATAATAATAATAATGACGATGATAATAGCAATAATAAAAATAATGATGATAATAATGAAAATAATAATGATAGAAAACAATAGTAGTGTTATCATCATACCCATTATTAGCATCACCATTATCATTATTGTTGTTGTTTGTTTTCTTATTATTATTATCATCATCATCATCATTAGTATCATTGTTATTATCATCATTATTACCATTACCATTGTTGTTATTGCTATCATTTTTATCATTATCATAAGCATCATCGTTACCATGTTTTTCTATTAATATATTTTATGATAATCGTAATAATTGTTATTGTAATCAGCATTATTAACAATATCATTATTATTATCATCTAGTTTTTCTTATCTTGTTGTTGTTGAGTTCAAAATCGCTACATTTTGATCTAAAATTGGATGATCAACAAAATTGATATTATATGAAACACATACACACACACACACACACACACATACATAAAGTTTTCATACTACGTATCTACTAGAATTTTAGTCTAATTCTATCATCATCAATGTTCTTGCCATTATACGTTATTAGTCTCATTAACATCATTGCCATCATTATTATCAATGTTGCTAATACTTTTTTTCGAGGCAAGTACACTGCATTAAAGTAGTAAGACCTTCAGTTTATGTACATTATCATTTACTCGTCTATCTGAGGGGGGGGGGAGGTTAAAGGAAGGAGAGAGGAAGAAGAAACACTGGATGAGAAGAATGGAGACTTAAAGAAGGGAGAGAGGGAGAAGAGGAGGAAAGTAAGGGTGCGATCGTCATTCAATCATTATGTGGTATTATTATTACAGCTATCATCATTGTTTTTTACCATCATTATCATTATAAGAATAATAATTATAATAATGATAATAATACTAATTATACTGACAAGTAGCGAAGTACTTTGCGAAAGGTTTTGAGGACCTCAAACAGGAAATTTTCAAAACTAATCATTAGCTATACGTACTGGCATTGGTTCTTCGTTCAAAAGCTTCGGCAAAAAATACCCCAAAAAATAGGGGGGCGACCCATTTTGGACTCGCTTCTGCATTATCGGTATTATTGAAAATGCAACCCCAAACCTAGTTTAAAGAATCTGAGCTTACCATGTGGTAGAACACATAATTCTATGATAGTTTTCTCCTGTATAATTTTCTGCGCAAATTGATAATAACGGTGTTATAGAGAGCATAAAATTAAAGTTTTCCAGGAGCCGCAGTAACCTTCCGCCTCCATCGGCGCGACAAAATGACAAAAAAGAGTGACAGGAAATCAGACGGATTTGTATGCGAGGGAAATCAAATGCGCCAATTAGATGTGTGCGTGAACGTGACGTGACCACAGACACTCAATAGAACCAATCAGATATGGAATAGATCATCACTTGAAAATAGAAGCTGGGCCTAAGAGAAGGCAGTTGAATTTCAAATCAATTCCATCATGGTTAGCTAGACAGTGTAGGTTGTGAGAATAATTATTTCGATTTCACCGCGAAATGTCAACAAAATGACGAAGCAAGCTTACAATATCTACGAGATCACGGTGTACTGCGGTGTAACTTTACTGTAAGCGATCGCAATTCTCGTCAACAACGGACTGGAATACCCAGACGATCCCAGTATCCCACAGCCTGGCCCGCGAGTTAACGCGTTAATGTAAGATGAGGTTAAAACTTCCTGGGTCTAGGCTCTATCCTGTCGGAACATACGAGGTGAAGATTTTGCAGTGTAGTGGTACTATGGCCCTTCGTTGACCCACGCGACCTCTCGGCCCAGGTGCTGATCGCAGCTAAGGCCACGAATTACGACCAGACGACCAGCTGACCTGTTCGTCCGTTCGATTGACACCATGAACCATGGCAGTACCAATGTCCTCGTGCAAACCAGCAGTTACCTCGAGCGGCAACTGGGTATGCTAACAAGCCGCCGAGGTGACCGCCAAGGTTGCTGGTTTCGGGCAAGAGGAGACACCGCCTTGCTGCTGCCGGTGCCGGGGACCGTTGGAGACAGATTAACCAAGGATCATCAGGTCATGTATCCCAGTGCTTCTGCAAGAAAAACAGAGTTCCGTGTGCTTTTGACCAAAGCGAGCACTAGTCCGCGGTTGTGATTTTAAGTAAGGAGAAAACAATTACGCGTCACAGACCAAACGCGAGTTAAGTGTCGTGCTTTTTTTATATATGTTTGTGATAGTAACACGTTTTTATTAATTCAATCGTATCGTGATTGTATTCGTTCGTTCTGTGTATTGTAATTCGTGTATATATTTTGTCTCGTTATTTTGTCGTTTGTGAATTTGTTCGTTTGTGCTATTAGTGTATTTCGTTCGTGTATATTGTTTTGTCTATATGTATTCGTGTATGTGTAATTGTTTGTATTTGTCTTTTAAAGAATATATAGTATGCATACGGAAAAGAATAATAAATCTAACATTTTAATTTACTTTCTTTCAAAACCGAACAACTAAAATATATAATAGATCGTATGATTAAAATTACAATAAACGTAAATATAACAAGATATATAATGAACATAAAAAGCTGAAGATAAGAACTGAAGTTTGATGAAAATAAATGACTAAGAGGTTAAAATAAGTATAAACAAATGAAACTGATTAATGACATTGAACAAATCCTCCAAACAAATAGCTCGGTCATATCACTGAACTATGTTAAAGAATCTAAGGGTCGGGATCCCTATTCCCGTGGTGGCGGCTACCTCCATTTGTGTGTATAAATATAAGTATGTCAGCTTGGTGTCACTACAACAGACCATACGGGGGGTGGGGAGGTGGCAGCCATCCCCCCCCACACACACACACCTGAAAGGGGGTATAAGGGGTCAAAGCCCACTATATCTACTGAAAACGTTTGTCCGTACTCTCGCCGGAACATACGAGGTGAAGATTTTGCAGACCAGGTGGGGGTTTAAAGGGGCGGAGCCCCCCTATACAACCCAGAAATGTGTTAATATACTGTACTTGTTAGTATTCTGCCGATATTTCTCGAAATTCCCTGCTATGTAGGCCTATATAGGCCTATCGAGACCGACATCGTACTTATGCTTCGTTTGCGAACGAAATGAATGCTGTATTCGTTTGAAACACGACGAAAGCTATTGGAAAATTATTCTATTCCCCCCCCAAAAAAAAATGTGTGGGGTTGTATTTTCAAATTACCACATTATCAATAATTTTACTAAGGAAAAAACAGTTCTGAAAGCCGACGATTATACTAGACACCCCTATATTGAATCGTTTTCTTTGTACTTTTTACTCATAGAAAATGGCAAAGATAGGGGATACTTTATAAAATCTCAATAGTCGATATCAATTCTTACTGATATATAATATATATATATATTATATATATATATATATATATATATATATATATATATATATATATATTATATACATGTGTGTATGTGTATGTATACATGTATGTATGTATATATGTACATATATATATATTTTATATATTTACACACACACACACACACCTATATATATATATATATATATATATATATATATATATATATATATATATATATATATATATATATATATACAATATTATATATATATATATATATATATAAATATTATAATATATATATACATATAATATACATACATATATATATACATATATATATATACATATACATACATATATATATATATATATATATATATATATATATATATATATATATATACATATATATACATTATATATATATACATTATATATATATATACATTATATATATATACATATATATACATATATATATACATATATATATACATATATATATACATATATATATACATATATATATATATACATATATATATACATATATATATACATATATATATACATATATATATACATATATATATACATATATATATTATACATATATATATACATTACATAACATACATATACATACATACATGTATGTATAGTGTAATTTCCTCACACCGTATTGCTAGTAATACACGTATTAGAAATGTTACTCCTTTTGAGTTGACATATTTATGGCGGGTAAATTTACAACACCCTGTATCTGTAGGAGTGATTAGGATGCACATACATACGCAAATACAAACACACACACAGAGATACACACGCACACCATACTCGAATACAAACAAACACACACAGATACACACGCACACCATACTCAAATACAAACAAACACACACAGATACACACGCACACCATACTCAAATACAAACAAACGCACACAAAATACACACGCACACCATACTTAAATACAAAACAAAACACACACAGATACACACGCACACCATACTCAAATACAAACAAACACACAGATACACACGCACACCATACTCAAATACAAACAAACACACACAGATACACACACACACGCACACATTTGTATATATAACCTGTTCTCGGGTGTAGAAACTTCTTTTTAAAGGTTCTATAATAATTATAGACAAAACAGAACCTTTGAAAAAAAAATTATCAACTACCTAATCTATCTACTTATCTATATAATAATTTCAATCCTGTATACCTAGTTTTTATTTCTTTCGTTTTAACAGTGGGAGGCTCATTTCTAACCTGTTATTGTATCAACATAGGTAGATTGACTTCTTATATTTATGTAATGATAACCAAATATGAAAATTGGACCATATATTTGGTTTATTTAATTTTAGATGTGGAGTCGACATG